GGCTGGATGAGTTGTTGAAGTATTGGTTTTTCTCATCAGTATTACAGGAGTAATTACAGCTGTAATGCTAATAATTGTTAACTACAATGTAAATGCTAATACTTATTAACTACAATGATGATGATGGTGGTGGTCATTCAACACTTATTCTAGACACTGAGGATACAGCAATGAACAAGACAAATAAGGTCCCCAATTTCAGGTAATAATTTTCACAGGGAGTGAACAGAAAGCAATCAAAATAAGTCATAATATATACACGTAATTATGTACATGTACATATATATAAAGCAGAACAGGGGTTAGAGAGAGGTGGGGCTTCTTTAGATGGAGTGGTCAGGGACTTCTCTCCAAGAGGTGACCTGAGCAGAAACCTGGATGAAGTGAGGGAGGGATCAGAGCCAAGACCTGGAGAAGGAGCCTTCCAGCAGAGGGAAGAGCCAGAGCAAGGGCCCTGCTGGATGGGATTGGCGTGTTCCAGGATCGGCAAGGAAACAGGGTGGGGGAGCAGAGCAAGCTCGTGGAGATGGCAGGATGCAAGGTCAGTCAGTACCAAAGGGCAGATTCTGCAGGGATTTTACCCCTGGTAAGGACTTTGGAGGGTGGAGAGCAGGAGGGCGATGTGATCTGATTTACTTTTGATAATGATCCTGCTGACTGTAAAAGAGGCAAGGGTGGAATGGAGAAGGCCAGCAGTAATGAGGCAACAGGTCCACCAGGAGGGCAGCAGGTAGCGGTTGTATTTGGGGTGTGGTTCAAACATTGACATCATCATTGTCATTATCAATGTCACTATTCCCCTACTTCTGCACCAACAGGGCTATTGAAATGAACTCTGTCACAGGGCCCACTGCCTGAGAGCTTCTGTTTTCTCAAGAAAGGAAAAATGATACCCACCACTCTGCCCATCTCACCAGGCTCTAAGCATTAAATTTGAACAACACAAAGAACCCCGTGAATGGTGCATTCAGACTTATTATCATTTTTATTAGAAAAGGTTCCCAGGGAAGGGACCCCTTCAGCTCCTTGTTCCCCCCACTCCACTGAGTTGTCACTCAAGAACATAAGTCTCTGTTGCATGAACCACTGTTGTAGAGGCGTCTTGATTTCTCCATACCTAGCAGCTAATTTAGGGACTCGATTTACTTGAGAAAATTATTCAAGTAGATTTTGTGTTGTGGGAACATTTCACAATGTAGCCATACTGCATTTACACAGTGCTGTTTCACTTGAAGACACAGTTTAACTTGGTGTGCGTACAGTTAAAGCACCCACTCTGGGAAGGCAGGGGCCTGCTCACGCGCCTTGCACAGTCAGTCCCCAGTGTTTACTGGTAAAGCTTTTTGCTTCTGCTAATAGCAAGTTCTCCTAGTGTCTTTAAAATGGAATTAAAACAATAAAAACTGGATTCACACATTGCCTTTTAGGAACACAGTACAGATATTGTATAAAACAAAGCTCACCTCTATAATTTCTAGGTTCTCTCCTCAAACAGAACCCCCATCCCTGCCCTATCAGCTAAGCCCGAGGGTTTTCTTGCCTCTCTCCAACACTGGCCAAATCCCTTGTGCCCTAGGAATCCCACTGCTTTCCCGGGAGGGGTGGGTGGGAGGGGGGAGGACGCACTTTTCCTACTTAACCAAGGGAGACTTTCCCAGGACCCCTCCAGACTTGACCAGCTGCAGCTGTCCCAACTCTGCTCAGTGGCACTGTCCTGTAGAGCCCTGGAGGGAAGCTCGAATGTCTCTAACCTTTGAAGAAGTTGCTTGGGGAAGCTATTTTTAATGCTGCCCTGAGTTGCCCTCCAGTGTATAACGAGATTGTTCTAGCAGAGACCTCTTTCTAGATCATCCCGAGAAGTGATAAGACTGAACCACAATTTTTTAAAACTTTTTATTGAGATTATGATAGTTTACCACCTTGTGAAATTTCAGTTGTACGTTATTGTCTGTCAGTCGTGTTGTAGGTGCACCACTTCACCCTTTGTGCCCACCCCCAGCCCCCTTTCCCCTGGTAGCCACTAATCTGTGAACCATAATTCTTAATCCTAAAATAGGCAAAACTGCTCCTCCAACATGTGCACTGGCGCTTTTGTTTCTGGAAAAAGTCAGGTTACTCCTGTCCTGATGTGGACCTAGGGCCTTGTGCCAGTGGCTCAGGGTCACTCTTTCCCCTCCCAGCCCTGATTTTAGCCTTGATAGATCCCTGTCCATCTTGTTACTTCCACAGATGGGGGGACAGTCACATTGGTGTCATCCCATCCCTCCAGCCTCCCTTGTTCTTATTCCAATCTTCCCAGACAACCTCTCCACTCACTTCTCCAGCTCCTCCCACAGACCTTGGTCCTTTGTGGGGAGTGGCCCACTTTGCCTATGGAGGTATGAGGGTGGGAAACAGCTCTCTGGGAGCAGGGTAAGGAGAGAGTGGACTTGGCACCAATCCAGCTACAAACCCTCTGTCCCTACAGGATGAAGAGAGGGGAGCTCTTTGATTACCTCACTGAGAAGGTCACCCTGAGTGAGAAGGAAACCAGGTGAAGGTCCTTTTGCCCCTGTCTCCACTCCCTGCCTGAGTCCTAGTGCTACAGACACTGAGGTCTCAGAGGGGGCCTCACTTGCAGTCTGGCTGTTTTGTGGGCTTTGGTCTCCCTGTTACCTGCCTGTTACCTGACCCTGCAGAGTAGGAGATAAGAGTAACACGTGCCTGTCCCACCCCAGAAAGATCATGAGAGCCCTGTTGGAGGTGATCTGCGCCTTGCACAAACTCAACATCGTGCATCGGGATCTGAAGCCCGAGAATATCCTCTTGGATGATAACATGAACATCAAGCTCACAGACTTTGGCTTTTCCTGCCAGCTGGAGCCAGGAGAGAAGCTGCGAGGTCTGGTAACGTGGACTTGGCCCATGTCAGGGTCTCAGGCTCTTTCATCAACTCTCCCAGGAAGAGAGATTGCCTGGTTCTCCCCTGTTCTTTTTACCCCCAGAATAAAAATCCTACCATTTCAGGTCTAGATGTATCTTCAGGTAGGCCCTCTTCCAAAGACTGAGCTGAGCCAGCTTCCCACTGCTTGAGTTCCAGGCCAGGATGGCTAGATGTGACCAGGGAACCAATGGACCCCAAGTGGGTGGCCCGATGAGCCAGCACCTGGCCCCTGGCCTTGGCCTTGAAGTTAGCCAGTGTTAGGAGAGTCTCAGCCCAAGCACCATTTCAGTTCCATCTCAACTGTTTGTTTGGACCTTACTCTTCCAAGTGTCCCCTGCTGACCTATCCTGATAGTAACCTATCCTATTCCTGCAGAGGTCTGTGGGACCCCCAGTTACCTGGCCCCTGAGATCATTGAGTGCTCCATGAATGATGATCACCCAGGCTACGGGAAGGAGGTGGACATGTGAGTGTGCTGGGGGGAAGGAGGTGGCCCATAGGGACAGGGATGCCCCCATGGCCAGAAGCACCTGGCTTGGGACGGGAGGAAATAGCAGGAGCTACAGCTGACCATCCTGCCTTCCTCCCCATCCACCCGGTGCCAGGTGGAGTACAGGGGTCATCATGTACACCCTGCTGGCTGGCTCCCCGCCCTTTTGGCACCGGAAGCAGATGCTGATGCTGAGGATGATCATGAGTGGCAACTACCAGTTTGGCTCACCTGAATGGGATGATTACTCAGACACAGTGAAGGACTTGGTGAGAGGCCAGGCCTGCTGGCTCCTGGGCTCAGGCGAGGGGGAGGGATACGATAGGGGGAGGGAAGTAGCATGCCACAGGATGGAGGAAGCTGCCAGCAGTGACCCCATGTCTTCTGAAGTGCTGGAGGGGCCCCTGCCTTGATATTTTCAGTTCCTCCTCCTTGTGCTCTCAGGTTTCCCGCTTCTTGGTGGTGAGCCCCCAGGGCCGCTGTTCAGCAGAAGAGGCCTTAGCACATCCCTTCTTCCAGCAGTATGTGGTTGAAGAAGTACGTCACTTCAGCCCCCGGGGGAAGTTCAAGGTACTAGAGCTCCTCTCCCATCCAGGGCCCTGGGTAGTTGCTGCTGACCCGTGAAGTCAAAGCCCCATGTCCCCTTCCTTCCCCCAGGGACTCCTTACACCCACAGGGTTTCCAGAGCACCTGCCCTTCCCCTCTCACTCACCCCTGTGATGGTCCCAGCTCACCTTTTGGCTTCAGGGAGGACAGATGTCATCCGACTAGTTCCAACAGCCTAAATCCCTGCGGATGCTGGTGGGGTGGAATGGGGGGAACACTAGGAGGGGCCCAGCAGAAGCCACACAAGACTTCTTGGCAAACAAGCTCAGGGCCTCCCTGCACTGCAGGGGGAAGGAGACAGGCCTGCAGGGCCTCAGTTCAGGTTCTCAGTCCTGGCCCTCCGCAGGTGATCTGTCTAACAGTGCTGGCCTCAGTGCGGATCTACTACCAGTACCGCCGGGTGAAGCCTGTGACCCGGGAGATTGTCATCCGAGATCCCTATGCCCTCCGGCCTCTGCGCCGACTCATCGATGCCTATGCTTTCCGAATATATGGCCACTGGGTAAAGAAGGGGCAGCAGCAGAACCGGGCTGCCCTCTTTGAGAACACACCCAAGGCCGTGCTCCTCTCCTTGGCTGAGGAGGACTACTGAGGGGCTGGCAGGGGGGTAGGTGGGGTTGGGGGCAGGCAGGGAGGGAAAGCCACAGAAATATAAGTCAAAGGAGTGAGATCATGTGCAGGCCTCTGTCCAGAGGGGGCACTTGGCCCTGGCCAGGACCCCTGGAAGTGCGGCCACTATACCCTCTCAGAGGTTCTGCACAAGAAGAGCAGGTGTTCCCAACACATGATGGTAAGTGTAGTCAGGGCTAGGCCCCACAGAGGGGGAGCGAGATGTCACCCGAGAGCCAGAAGCCCTCCTGCGTCTCCACTCCCCAGCTGTACCACATCTCAGTTTCTCCTCACGGGAGGCCCAGAGTTCCCGACACTCGGAAGTACTCCCCTTAGGGTTCCAGGGTGAGAATAAAAGAGAAGAGTCGGAGATACACAATCACAGGAGAGTTTACTGACCTTACAACATCCAGTGACACCATGGGAGAAGGTTTTCTCTCTGGGGACATGTTTTTAGAGGCATATGGAAGCCCTTACATAATTAACAATAGAAAGGGAAGCTTCTAATATTTGTCTTTCTGGAGTATTATTTACTTTGTGACTTCCATGATGCATAGTTTTGCCTGGTAAATCATTCTGTTCTCCTGGACCCTTTTAGAACTGACATCGCGCTTTAAAGAGCCCAGTTATTGCATTTTACAATTGTGGAAATTAGGTTCTTTCAGAGGCACACGAAACACCATCAATGAGGCAAATGAAGGAAGCATTTTCCTTGGAAAAACAAAGAAAACCCGGGAAATTTTGCCTTGAGAAAACAATGTCAGATCCCTGAATCAGACACGAAAAAAGGGGAGAAAACAATTTTTTAACAAACTGTCTTTAAGAGCACTCTGCCCCGACTGTTTGAGAATTTGGCCCCTATGTGGTTAATATTTGACCTCTAAGAGAAACACCCAGCTCCTGGCCACAATCAATAATTTGGTCCCTTCTCCAAGAGACAGTGGCACCCCTCCTCTGATGTCAGAGTCCTCTCCTGCCCTGGTGAGAGGTGCCTGCCATAGAGGGATGGGGGAAAGGGAGGGAGGACATTTCTGAGGCTGAAGTTGAAGAGCCTGGAGTTTGGCTACGTTTGGAATGTGGCCAGGGAGGGGCATGGATACCACGGTGGACTCTTCTCCTAGGCTCTGCATGGCTGCTCACAGCTCCCCATGTGGTCCGCCTGTATCAGAAGCACAGCGGAAGCCTAGGTTGTCTGACGCTGAATCTGGAGTGTTGCCCATCCTGCCACCAGAGAAGGGGAGAGAGATGGACATTTGTTGAGAAAAGGGCCTGGTGCCTTACCTAACGTTCCTGCTGAACCTCTCAAAAGCCTGTGTCTATTGGCCTGAGGACTGGGGAGGGCATGGTCTGGAAAGAAGCCTGGTTTGAGGGCACTCCTGGGGGAAAGGGGTAAGAAGGAACCTTGGGACTAGGTGGAGGAAGTGAGAGAGGTCCTGATAGAATGCACTGGAAGGCAGGAAAGGCAATGAAATAACTTCGTCTGTCGGTAACTTAGAATAACAAGGCCAAAAAAAACCCGTCAGCGAGAAGCGAGAATATCATAGTGCCAATAAGTACTTCACACTTTTCAAAGAACTTTTACATATATTCCTTCATTTGTCATTTCCCAACTGCTCTGGAAGGCAGGATTTGTGCACCATTTTACAGACCCAGAATAAGATACTAGAAAGATTTAAATGTCTTGCCCTAGGCCAAGTGTTGTTTTAGTGGCACAACAGAATCAGTAGCAAACCCAGTTTCCTGGTTCTCGGGCCAGCACTTTCCCTCTACTTTGTCCTAAAAAAGGAGGTGAGGGAGGCTGGCCCAGTGGTGTAGCAGTTAAGTTTGTCTGCTCTGCTTTGGTGGCCTGGGGCTCACAGGTTCAGATCCCAGGCACAAACCCAGCATGGCTCATCAAGCCACGCTGTGGAGGCATCCCATATAAAATAGAGGAAGACTGGCACAGATGTTAGCTCAGAGACAATCTTCCTCAAGCAAAAAGAGGAAGACTGGCAACAGATGTTAGCTCGGGGCCAATCTTCCTCTCAAAAAATAAAATTTTTTTTTTTAAAAGTATATATATATAAAAAAAAAGGAGGTGAGGAAAATCCAGGGGCCTCAACGTGAAGGAAACACTTGCAAACCTGATAGCCTGAGGCCACAGAAACAGTGGCCTCCCTATAATCCTTATGGAACCCAGGAGTAGAGCAGTTGCAGGGAGATCAACCAAAATCAACCAAAATTTTCTACAGATGAACAAAATAAAGAGTCCTTGAAGGGGACTCAGGAGCCTGGTACTCTACCATTCATCTGTGTGAAATGAGCAGACTCCAGGACCTCCCTGAGCCTATTCTTCCTTGATTGTAAAACAAAATGGTTGGAGAAAATGATGTTTCAAGTGCCCACCAGTTTGAAGAGTCGATATTTCCATGACCCCTGGCCATTCCATTTCCCTCCCTCTGCACACCTAGTTATAAGGACAAAAGGAGAAACCCACATAACTAAGATGCTAGACACAAAGTCTCCCTTGGTGCTGAGAGCTGGCAAGAAAAGGCACAAGTTGTCCTGGTCTCTTGCTTTTCATGGCAAATGCTGCTTGCTTTCTTTTCTGTACCCACAACTCCCAGTGGAGGCGGAGTTATGGAAGCAGCGTCCAGACCAGCTCTGGTGCCACCTGTGCTCTGGGAGACTAAGACCCAGACCCTCAGTCCTCAGTTACCAAGCCCCTTACCTGGTGGTGACCCGAGCCCGGTGATTGGCAGAGCCATCAGCTGTGTCAATCCAGGATGCTCCCCGGAGGACACGCATGTCCTGGTCAGCAGCCTGGTATGGTGAAGCTGTCCACTCCCACACGTTGCCCACGAGGTCATAGAGCCCTGCAGCACAGCAGGCGGGTCAGTCTCAGGATGGGAAGCACCATACCCACCCCTCCTAGCCATCAGAGGCTCCGGGGGGCAAAAGCTTCCCCAGTGGTGTTTCTCTCTGCCTCATCTATCAGGCAGAATGATTCCACCAACCAATCTGTGAATGCTGATAGCAACTTGATGAGAAATCTTACCATAGTTATTCTGTGGGGGGAAAGCGTTCACTGGGGAGACTCCATGGAAGCCATCCTCAGCCTTGTCACCCTTGGGGAACTTCCCCTGAGGGGGAGAAATTTAAGACAGGTGTTCCTGCCTGCCCAGAAGGAAACTAAGGTCATTTTGTTGGACCATCTGGGGTAGGGGGAAGGGCATGGGGCAGTGACATGAGGTTCCCATCCTGAGCTCCCAAACCAGTCACCTCATGTCCTCCACCATGACCTTCTGACTGGATTAGGAAGTGTGTGGTTTCCCCTGTGCCCACAGTGGTCCTTGTCAAGCCCATCCCACTCCTACTTTCTCCACTCTCAGCAACTTCCTCCCCTCTGCCTCAAAGTCCATGTGCTACAGGGTTTGGGAAGAAAGGCTCCTCCACCCTGTCTTCATGCCCTGCACCCCTGCCTTCTCAGGAACCACTGATGCCCATCCTGTGCTCTCCTGTACCATCTCTTTCTCTTCTACCACCAACAGGTTTAACTCTCCCCCATCCACCCAGACTCTACCTTCCTCATCTCCGGTTCTTTACCACCTAAATTCTTGAGAAAGAAACCTAAATTTGCTGATGCAATTTGTTCAACTTAATCATTTGTCTTCTCATTAAAATTGGGGTCAGCTGCCACCACTCTATGGAAGCTGCTCTTATGAAAGAGAAGATGAAGAGGCTATAATTTACTCAACACCTACTATGTGCTAGGGCTGTTACATTTATCTCTTTTAATTTCCTACTTCCAAGGATGTGAGGCAAGTATTTTCCCCCTTCAAAAAACTAGCAACAGAGGCTCAAAATGGTTAATTTATCAAAGATCACACAGTGACTAAGATCTGTCTTTCTGCAAACTCTGAACCCAAGATCATCTAAAAGGTCAGTCCACCCCTCAGGCCCTTTCCAGTGCTTCCCACTGAAGAGCTGGTGCTCTGCTCCTCCCACTCTACAGAGTCTCCCTGGGGGATATCATTCTTGCTGAAGGTATATGTGGATGACTCCCAAACCACTTGCTCTGACCCAGAGCTCTGTCCTAAGCTTCAGACTCATTTTCAGCCTCTGACTGAGCATATAAATGACCCAAAAGTATTTTAAGCTAAGCTGATCCTAAAGTGATCAAGTTCTATTCCTCTGACCCTGAACATGCATATTATCTATTCTGGATAATGGCAGCACCATCACCCTATTTCCCAAGTTTGAATTCATGCTTCAGTCCAAATATCTTCCACTCTTCCACTTTTGATTAATTACCAAACCCTGTCTAACTTCTCAGGCACGCCTCTCTCATTTGGTTTCCTCTTGATTCCACTCCTACTTAATTCAAGAGTTCATAATGCCCTGGGCCACTGCCACAGCCTCAAATTCAGAGACCCACCCCCTGCCACCACTGCAGCTCTACCTCATCTGGTCCTGCATGAATTAGCAACAATTAGCATCCCCCCAAATCAAATGATGTTGTTACTCCCCTGTTTAAAAAACTCTGTCGGCTCCCCACTACTTAGAGGGTAAAATCTAAAACCATATCTTGGCACACCTACTCCTTCTTAATCTGCCTCCAACCCACTGTCTACTTCATCTCCTACACCTCCTGTTTCCAGGTGCTCCAGTCTCTCTAAATCTGTCATGTCTTGGAACACACAGTACCCTTTCCTAATACAATGCTGATACTCATGTTGTTTCTTCTGCTTGGAACACCCTTTCCTCCACTTTTCACTTTGCAAACTCTTACCCTTTCCTCCACTTTTCACTTCGCAAACTCTTATGCAATCAGGTCAAATGTCATCTTCTCTGTAAAGTCACCCCCAGCACTCTCAGGCAGGGATTTACCTCCAAGCACACTCCGCAAATCTTTAATATGCAGCACTACCACATTCTTTTGCTTTACCAGTTTACCAGTTTTCAGTTCCATGAAAACATGAAGCCCCCCGAATACCATGGCCTAACACAATGCCTAGCCTACAGTAGGTCTCACTCAATGCTGTGAGAAAAGACAGGAGGAATGCATGTCTTACCTGCCAAAGGTTGGTGCGGTTTGGCTGAAACCAGTTTCCCCATGGGTAAACCTGACCTGCCAGGACAGCAAGGAGACAGTGGGGTAGGGAGAGGTGAAGAGTTGGGGAAGAAGGGAAAGATAGAAAGAGTGAGGGAACCAAAAGGAAGTTAGAAGGTGATGAGAAAAGAAGAATAAGTTTATTTACTTCTCTTTCCCAAGCCCATCCCTTCCACTCACATTTGGAGTATCACATTTGGATATCACATTTGGAGCCCTGATCACCTGATCCACTCCAGGAGAGTGCAATCCTAGGTGTGGCTGTAATACCAGTCTGTAAACTATTTGTTACCAATTCATGTCACCAATACATCTCATGTACTCATCAGATAAGTACAGCAATTGAGAGTAAGCATTGGGAAACTTGTTAATGGGACTTAGATTGGATAAATGAACAAGCAACCTCATTCATCACATCAATAACTTTGACTGTTGCTATAGCCAGTGTTCATTCCAAGAGTGTGTAGAGGTGCTGACTGTGGAGAATTGCTATTTCACTTTCATAACTTTCTGTTCAGTTAGGATTGCAGAACAACAAAGTTACTAGGAAAGAGTGATTCTTTAGATTAATCCCCATATACCTAGGGAAAAGGTATGTAGTTTGGGTAGTTCTTTTCTTTGTCTATGCTATGTTGTTATGATTATATTTATCGAAGTGTAACATGTCTGTGAAATTTCCAACAATAAAAAATTTTATGTCTGGTTTTTCATTCCATTTTTCCAGTTATTAATTTTTATGGCATTTTACAGAAATATTGATCTGAGATGGATTAGAAATGAAAACAACAATTGGTCCTTTACCACAGTTTAAGAAGCACTGCTCTAGGGAATGGACCCTTCCCACCCTTTGAAGACCCCCACGCAGGGCAGAATGGGGAGAAGAATAAATGGAAATCGCCTTGGCATCTCTATACCCTTCAAGCCCCCTCGGGCAGCAAACTCCCACTCTTCCTCAGTGGGCAGCCGTTTCCCCCGCCAAGCACAGTAGGCACGAGCATCATTCCAGCTCACGTGTACCACTGGGAGCTCCAGTCTCTCTCGGATGCCAGAGCCGGGACCTGCAGGCTGACAGCCAGGATGAAGTGAGATAGGCTTCTAGGAGCTCATGGAAGAGTCTGAGGAAGGCTAGGCTTAGAGTGCCTGAGTCAATCTTTTACTCACACTGGTGAGGTGGAGAGGTCCAGAATCAGAAAGAAGAGACTATAACAAGACTAAAGGGAGAAATGGGATGGGAAAAAGGATGGGGCAGAGGAAACTGGGTTGCTTGGCTGTTTCCCTGAAATTTCTCTGTCATCTTTAACTTACTACTCATAGATGGGCAAGGGGGCTAGGGAAGCCAGGCCTCTAGAATGAGAGTCAACAGGGTAGAGGAAGAAAAGTAGAGGAACCAACACCTACCTGCCTCCAAAATGCCCTTTCCACTGGAAGCCACCAAAGAACAGACTGCAAAAAAGAAGGAGCATGACTGCAAGATGCTCTGGCCCACCAAGAGCACCTTCCTGACTGACACACAGGAGGAAGAGCAGAGATTTCAGGCAGAGACTCAGGTGATCCAAGTGAGGCTATGTCTGTTACAGTGTGACATCTCACCACCCTTAATAGAGGGAGGCTTGTCAAGATGTTCTCTTGCCAGTTCAGGGAGTATCTTGAACCCTGTGTGTATCTAGAGCTTTATGGAGTCTCTCTATGCAGAAACCAGCTCAGGGTTAACTTCCTGGGAGTGTGTGTTCATCTGACTCTTCCAGGGAAGATTTCTCTTGCTTCTGTCCTGCCTCCAGCTCTCAGGGTTGATTCTCTACTGTGACCCAGGTGACCCCCTATCCCACAGGATTCTCTGTCCAGGTCCCATTCCCATTCCCTCAGCTGCGAGCCCAGGTTCTCTCACCTCCATTTGCTGGGTCACTTTGTTTCTAAGCTCATCAGAGACAAAGTCCTCAAAGACGAAGCTCCACCCAAACGTCTCAGCCTCTGTCCGGTACTTTTTCTCTCTGACAAACTCCCTGAAAAGAGATATGCCACTTGGTTCAGCTGACAGGGTTCCATGCCTCACTCTCAGCTACTCCTGCGCCAGAAAACCTCATATATCCTTACTCTATAAGTTACACATCACAGAATTTTCATGAATTCCAAGGAATTAACCTAAAATCCTGAGCAGGAGATTTTCTTCTAAAATCTGTTGATGTGTAATTCACATACAGTAAAATTCACTCTTTCCAGTGTATAGTTTTGTGAATTTGGACAAAGCATATAGTCACTATCACAATATACAAATACAGAGCAGTTCCATCAACCACCCCAAAATATTCCCTGGTGGGCCTGCAACCACTGACCTGCTTTTGTTCCTATAGTTTTGCCTTTCCCAGAATATAAATTCACATAAATTGAATCACACAGTATGTAGCTTTTGGGTTCTGGTTTCTTTCACTTAGCATAATGCTTCTGAGATTCATCCATGCTGCTGCCAGCATCAGTAGTTTGCTCCTTTCTATTGTTGAATAGGGTTCCACTGTATGGATGTACCATATTTTGTTTATCCATTCACCAGTTGCAGGTCATTTGGCTCAGCTCCAGTTTTTGGAGAAGAATAAAGCTGCTGAGAAGATTTAAGAATGGGGAATGGGTCTCTTTTCTGAAAGGTCTTCACATACCTAATCTCACAACAATCACGGGAGGAAGGCAGAACAGGTGTTCTTATTTCCATCAAACAGATGAAAGAAACTGAGTCAAATAAAGAAGACTTGCTGAGATTTTAGAATGGATTTTCATATAGTTTGGTATGGCTCAGCAAATTTCAGCAGATAGATTGCCAGGGTAAGATGGATTGTTTTCACTGGGCTAATAGTATCTCATCTGTGCCAGCCCTCTGATATGAGGAGACATTGTTCACTCATCAAAGGGGCATTGAGAACAGAGGAGGTGATCAGATTTGGTAGCAACAGCTATTTACCAATCTCAGAGAATCTAAACAGTTTGAGACTCTTTTCCCAGAGAAGCAGAGACAAATTATCAGTTCTAGGCAAAGTTTAGGGGCTTGCTGGAGGTGACATTACATTTCTATCATTTAATAGGTCATAATTTAAAAACAGAAAAGAGGGCAGGCCCGGTGGCAGAGGAGTTAAGTGCGCACATTCCACTTCGGCGGCCCGGGGTTCACCAGTTCAGATCCCGGATGTGGACATGGCAAAGCTTGGTAAGCCATGCTGTGGTAGGCGTCCCACGTATAAAGTAGAGGAAGATGGGCACGGATGTTGGCTCAGGGCCAGTCTTCCTCAAAAACATAAATAAATAAAACAAAAATAAAAACAGAAAAGAATGCATACTGTGCATCCATCTAGCTAACTACTTCTGGTTATTGTGATATGGTACAAACCTGATCAGAAGTGATTTCTCCTTCAATTTTAACAACTTTCCTGTTTAAAAATACTTTTAAAAATCATACAGAAGCAAAGCACATTATTTTAGAAAAATGAGAAAATAGAGGTAGGTGAAAAGAAAAAAATGAAAATCATCCATTATCATACCAACTAATATCTTTCCATATTCTAGCCCCCTTCCCACCACCAAATATTTTAAAATAACTTTAATAAGGTGCTTCCCTGGAATTATTTTCATTTGGAAGTAAAAAAAACCTGGGCAAAATCTGTCAACTAATGCAATGTTGCATCTTCCAGTTCTTTTTTAATGCATATACATTCTATATACATAGTTCTAAAAAATGGGATCATAACCCATATATTGTTTTGTAAAACTACTTTCTTCACTTAACATCTGATAGCTTTTCTTTTTTTAAAGATTTTATTTTTCCTTTTTCTTCCCAAAGCCCCCCAGTACACAGTTGCATATTTTTAGTTGTGGGTCCTTCTGGTTGTGGCATGTGGGATGCTGCTTCAGCATGGCTTGACAAGTGATGCCATGTCTGTGCCCAGGATCCGAACCAGCGAAACCCTGGGCCGCTGAAGCGGAGTGGGCGAACTTAACCACTCGGCCACTGGGCCGGCCCCTCATACCTCTCTTTTAGACAACAGGATTTTTTTTTTATTGAGTTATTGATAGGTTACAATCTTGTGAAATTTCAATTGTACATTAATGTTTGTCAGTCATGTTGTAGGTGTACCACTTCACCCTTTGTGCCCACCCCCCACCCCACCTTTCCCCTGGTATCCACTAAACTGTTCTTAGTCCATAATTTTAAATTCCTCATATGAGTGGAGTCAAACACAGATTATCTTTCTCTCGCTGGCTTATTTCACTTAACATAATTCTCTCAAGGTCCATCCATGTTATCGCAAATGGAATGATTTTGTTCTGTTTTGCAGCTGAGTAGTATTCCATTGTATATATGTACCACATCTTCTTTATCCATTCGTCTGTTGCTGGACACTTAGGTTGCTTCCACGTCTTGGCTATTGTAAACAGTGCTGCAATAAACATTGGGGTGCACAGGACTTTTGGGATTGCTGACTTCAGGCTCTTTGGATAAATACCCAGTAGTGGGATGGCTGGATCGTATGGTAGTTCTAGTTTTAGTTTTTTGAGGAATCTCCATACTGTTTTCCATAGTGGCTGCACCAGTTTGCATTCCCACCAGCAGTGTATGAGGGTTCCTTTTTCTCCGCAACCTCTCCAACATTTGTTGCTATTAGTTTTAGATATTTTTGTCATTCTAACGGGTGTAAGGTGATATCTTAGTGTAGTTTGGATTTGCATTTCCCTGATGATGAGCATCTTTTCATGTGTCTATTGGCCATCAGTATATCTTCTTTGGAGAAATGTCTGTTCATGTCTCCAGCCCATTTTTTGATTGGGCTGTTTGATGTTTTGTTGTTGAGTTGTGAGAGTTCTTTATATATTATGGATATTAAGCCTTTGTCAGATATATGACTTGCAAATATTTTTTCCCAGTTAGTGGGTTGTTTTTTTGTTTCAATCCTGTTTTCATTTGCCTTGAAGAAGCTCTTTAATCTGATGAAGTCCCATTTTGACAACAGGATTTTTAATGGCTGCTAAGTATTCTGTTATGTCGATACAATACGTTTAAGTGATCCTTAAATTGTTAATATTTGTTTACAATGTCATCTTTTTAGCTAAATGTTTTGTACAACCTTAATTCTCTCCTTAAGACAAATCCCTAGAGGTGGAATCGCTAAGTCACAGGGCCTGAGGAGTATATAAACAATCCTTATGCTTATTTTAGTCTGTGTCTCCTGAATCAATTTTTCCTCATAATTTATTTTGAAAAGTTTTAAGTCCACAAATGTAATATTTCAGTCATTGCTTATATTTGCTTTACAGTCTTTCTGTCCCCCCTACCCCCTCCTTTCCCCCTCCTATTCCCCCCTGTACCATTTGGAGGTAAGTTACAGATATCTTCTGGATCATTTTCTACTTTAGCTTACCCAAAACATATCACCTTGAGGAAACTGAGGGAGCTCAACATGGCTTCTTAGATTGAGCTGGAACCACAATGTTTGACTCCTAACAAGGCCATTTCCCTAAGCAGAATTTAAGGGACCCTCAGCTGTATGACCCTTCTCCCAATCTTTTCTCCCCCTTGAAGAGGTTTCTGTTGAGTGTTTGACTTTTGCCCATATTTCTCAGTGCTGTGCCCAGTGTAACGGAAAATCCACTGGCTCAAGAGTCAGGGGATTTGAGTTCCAGGCCCAGCTTTGCCACTAACAGAGAGTGAGGTCAATCTTTTTGGATTTCAGACTCTTCATCTGAAAAATGTAGATAACACTTATCCCACAGTACTATTACAAAGATGATACGTAATAGTGAACAAGCTAGTTTGTTTTTAGATATTAGGAATGACAATTAGAAAGGGCCTTTATTCCTCCTAGAAGAACATCTGATGTACCTGAAATCTTTGTTGGTGACAGGAAATATGTCAATGGCAAATGGTTTTACTGTCACCTCCCGGACGGGCCCTTCACCATCTCTGCCATCTGGTGAATTTGTTCCCATCTGGAATCTCCCACCTGGTAGCTGGACCATGCTAGTAGCCTGCCCGGTCCCTGCAGAGAAAAAGGAGAGTCATCAGTGATACACGAATACATATATAAAACAAGTGTTAATATTTGGATCACATATAATACTCAAATAGTATAATGAAAAAAAATGGAGGCTTAAAAATTTGGCTTTAAATTCTTGTTCGGCCACTTAATTTGCTAGGTAACCCTGGCACCTAGCACAACTGCACAATAATTACCATCAAATAATTGAATGAGCTCCTTCATACTTGCTGTTTGAATGTTTTAGAAAATCTTAAAAGGATCTTTAATTCAACCCACTTATTTAACAGGAGGAAATCAAGACCCAAAAAGGAAAATGACTTAAAGAGCTAGTTAGCAGGAGCCAGAACTAGATCCAGGTCTCTTTACTTCTAGGTCAGTGCTATTTCCAATAGGCCACACTTCTTTGGCTTGATGTACTACTTCATGGTGGTGTTTCTAGGTAAGGATGTCTAAGTATTGTAAGTTCCTCAAAGTCAGAGCCCACTTCTTTTCACATTCCTCAGGATCCTATCTTTGGCCCTCTTCTCATTCTCATTCTGACACACTCACAATGCTAATTCCATCCATTTCAAGGAGGAAAAAAAATAGAGCAAGCCGGGAAATCTCAGATTAAAAGGGAATTAAGAAACAACATACAATTGCGATGTATGAATTTTGTTTTGACACTAATTCAACAAGTAAACTATAATTTAAAAACACTTGTAGGTGAATCTGAACACTACCTGGATATTTAATGATATTAAGGAGTACTGTTAATCTTTTAGGTGGGAAAACGGTACGGTATTTTTTTCGTGACATGTCTTTTTGGCTATTAAAGCTGAATATTTACAAATAAAATTGTATAATGCGTGGATTCACTTCAAAATATTCCCAGGGGAAGGAAAAAGCGGGAGGGATACCAAACAAGGAAGCAAGACTAGCCATTAGTTGCCAATTTACAACTGCTAAGCTGGGCGATGGATACGTGGCAGGGCTCGTTATATTCTCCTTTCTAACTTTTTCTATGTTCAGAAGATGGCAAGATTATCAGTTAAAAGTAAAAAAGAAGTGAGATACAACGACATGAGCTGTTAACCACGTCGCCAAGGCGGCTGCCTCTGAGAGGCACGTCCGGCCGCTCCAAGCCCGTCCGGGCAGCGGGCAGAGACGCCAGTCTCCTTCCCCAATAGGGCGGAAAGACTAACGCCTTTCCTGATGCCTCCTGGGACAAACGGCGTCAGGAAAAGGAGCGCAGGCCAGCACACTGACCTCTCGAGAGCCACGGGGCGGACAGGAGCGAGAGCAAGGTGAGCAGCCGCAGCGAGGAGCCCAAGCCGGGATCACGAGCCATGGGAACGCGAACACGGTACGTGCTCAGTGCGGCTCTGCTGCGCATGCGCCCCGCACGCATTACGTCGGCCGGCCACTACTGCCCGCGCGCACGCGCACTGCACCCTCGAGCGTCCTCTTGAAATTGTCGGCGCCTAGGGCCTGAATTTAACGTGTGGAGGCACCTAATTAAGAAAAAGCAATTCTCTCAGGGTTAGCATCGAGGGGCCCTGCCAGTCCAGAAGCCCCTTCATTATCTTTTGAACATATGGACTGATGTCTGTCCCTTTTATATTCGGATTCCCCTGGAGTACCATCACAAGATGACAGAAATGGTTTCAACATAACATTTATTGCACACTCAAAACTGCCAAGTTCTCAAAATACAAAGCTTAGCAACACAAAACTTCACCTTCAATGACTGCAGATATACCAACTGTATAAAAACAATTCTGTGGAAACATGTCGGAGAACAGTATTAGGTGAGGAGGGTTTTGAGACGGATGTTTCAGCCTAAGAAAAGCTTCAGAGGTGTGAAAATACGGTCTGCCTGAAAGCTGCATCTCATCTAGCCCTTAGTCATCATGCCTTCAGCTATCTTTTTACCTTTGCCTCCTTTATTTGTTTTTGCCACTCGTACTTGCAGCTTCAACTCTCTTGCCTCTAGTTCACCCATCTTTCTACCCACTACAACTTTTCTGGGGAGCATTTTAGCAAAGCTACTTCAAAAGCATGAAAAATCCAACTGATCCAATAGTTTTATCCATAGGAATTTATACTAAGGAAACAGGGATGCTTTCAAAACCTTAAGTTACTTAAGTGTTATTTATATTAGCATAAAAATTTTAAACTTAAATGCTTGACAATTGGAAACTACTGGATAAATTAAATTACATCCATTAGAAGAAATTATTAAACCAATAAATTTGTTTTTCAAGGAATATTTAATACAAGATAGTTACATGCTTATCTAACATGTATTTTTCATCACTAAAGCTAAAGCAAAACATTCTGTTCGTTGGATAAAAACAGCTTGCTTTATACGTGTACATTGCAGTGCAACTAAAAAAAAATCTGTAATTATTATTTCAGAACTTCAGAATCTGAATAGGTGCCAATGTTCTTTTTTTCATAAGGGAAAAAAAAATCTTTGAAAGTCATTTGAAGCTTGGACAAACATTCCACAGCTATATTCTTAGGTTCGCTGTAGAGTCTTCATGATTCAGATGGTAGAAAGGAAACTTCAATTCAACCTTTTAGAGAAGACATTCCAGCTCGCATGATCTCATCAACTAGGAGAATGTTGGTGGCAATCACAGTGCTGGAAGGGGAAAAAAAAAGTCAGATGACTCTGATTTGAGATATGAATCCTAATTCAACTTAATTTCCAACTAAACTGTGCAAACTACATCCAATAAAGTTTCCCCTTTCCTCTCCATACAACAGAAGGCTAGGTTAGTTTCTATACTTTCAGTTGATTACATTTTTTATGTAACCAAAAAAGGTAACTAAAACATACCAAATTAAGAATATGACGATCCCCTAAAGATTATTTTAATTTTGGTTTTCCCAAACTTACCAGGAGTGAAGCAGCTGTTTCTTTACACAATAGTTATCCCATATGCCTACTTCTGCTGCTACCATTGGCTCACCTGAAAAGTAACCCAGTATTCTTAAAATCACATACAGCAGGTCATAAGATCACAATGCTGTCTAGAACAACAGTATTTTGTGCTGCTTTGCTCATCACTGATCACTCTCATTTCCTCCAGTATTATCTATGAGAACCCAAAGTTCCTCAATTAGTCCAATTTTGTACAAACCATGACTCCTGTGCACAGTATCTTTGATGAGTGGCTAATCTCTACTTAGACCTTCCGTGATTGGAACCCTCTATTTGGTTACCCAATAGGTGAATCTCTCTCTCTGGACACACTATTAGAGGATAGCACTTGAACTAAATCCGGCCAAAACGGGCTTACCATTTCCCTCATTCCAGAAACCTTTTCAATTAACTTGAATGTAAATGATGCTGTTAACAACAGGTCTTACTCACACATACTGCATGGATGCATCTTAGTTCTCTCTCTCCCACTTTGTACTTGTATAATTTGTGGTGTTATACTGCTCTAAGACTGGGGCTTTAATAATTTCATTAGATTTGGTCCCCTATTCCAGCAAGTATTTGCTATCCTCAGTCTTTTTTCACCCATGAATATGATCACCTAATGTTATTTTATCAAAGTCCCTGATAAAAAACAGAGTAAAGCAAGCCCAACAGGAAACCCTACAATATTAACCTGAACTACCTACCACAACTCAGCAACATCAACAAATCCAGTCTTTGAAATTATTCAAATGTCTACTCTATTCCCTTAATTACTACATCCAGTCATTCTATTTTTATTTCATATTTTAGAACCCAGAGTTCCCCAAGAGTGCTGGTAGCAAACTGCAAAGCAACTCTCCAAGATTCTTCCATCTCCAGTTTTGATTTTTCCTGGCTTTACCTCACATATATTATCTAGTTCTCCTCCGACAAACAGTTGCATTCTCTTACCTGTGTTCAAGTCCACACCCACAAGTTGACCTGATTCTGAATGTTCTGCTTGAACTTTAACTAGTGTTTCCTGAAGGTCAAAACCAGAGTTCTGAGCAAGAACCTAAAGCAAACAAATTTAATCCTTTAAAAGACAGGACCTAATAACTGGGAGTCAAGTGTACAATAAATGAACAGTGTTCCCAATTAATAATTTAAAAACCCTTTACAAATGAAAACAGACCAGTATTTATGCTCATTTTAGAGAATAACATTTTACTAATCAACTCACTAATCCAGCCCAAGACCAGCAATACACTGGTCATAAACTATAACCCCAAATGAGCATACAATAGGAAAGCATGATTTTGAACACAGTTTAACTAAAACAAATAAAAACAAAAAGCAATCTTGTACTCAAGTATAATCCCTACACCACAAATCCTCTTAAAATAGTTATCTCTTGCCATCTGAAACTTCCAGATATTCAAGTCTCCCTTCCAGAGGAACCAAAAACATTTGGATGATGAAAGATACCTGTTCTGGTGTTAGGGAGAACACTGATCAAACTTGTTTTTTCAAAATCCACATTATGAAAAAACCCACATTATCGAAAAGCTTTCATCAGCTGAATCATTTTAGTCTAGTTTAGAAAATCGACTGTTAAAGCCTGTATACCTTGGGAATAATGAGCAATGCATCAGCAAATGCTTGAACTCCAAGTTGGGCCCTGCCCTTTACACTTGGCTTGTATTTAATCAGGGCTTCTGCCATCGCCACTTCCACTGCACCAGCACCTGGAACTACACAGCCTATTGGGTGGGGAGAGAGAGATGCTAAGCTACAAAAAAACTGTAGAATCAATTAGGAGAAAACATATAAATTAAAACACACATGAAAAGCGACTAATTTCTTGAGAATTCAGTATAACCACAGCAATTTTAATATTACATTTAAAAGCAATACAAGCAACATATCAAATAGCAGAATGATTTAACTAGCACTTTTAAGTTCTTGCAAGCTCTTAGCACTAGTTCATTTATTTGTATCCACTTTTAATAATGATATGCTATAAAAAACATAGCATAACATCATAGTTATTTTAAAAGAAGACTTTACTTTTGCATGGTGTCTGGCTGTGTAAACTACTGATAAAAAAACACAGTATTCAGCCATGCCTTTTAGACTAACAAAAAGAACATAATTTAAATACAGTTAGGACCTTACCATCATCAATAGCATTTTTAACAGCCCTCAAGCCATCTCTTATTGCATCTTTGATTTGTGTGAGTGTGTGCTTATTTGGTCCTTTGACCAACAATGTGACAGAGCGAGGATTGTTACATTTCTCAATAAAGGTGAACTTCTCTTCTCCCTGTGAAGAGAGAATATTTTCAAAAGCAGAAAATGGGTGCACAAAGACTGAACAGAGGGGAGGAGCTTATGGAGGAATGATAAGTAGTGAATTAATAGAGAACACCACTGATGACATTAAAGCAAATTATTTCTTTTTTTAAAAACTAGTTTAAGCTGGTCAGTGTTCTTTTTGGAAGATCGGCCCTGAGCTAACATCTGTTGCCAATCTTCCTTTTTTTCCCTCCCCAAAGCTCCCCAGTAAATAGTTGTATATCCTAGTTGTAGGTCCTCCTAGTTCTTCTATGTGGGATGCTGCCTCAGCATGGCTTGATGAGGAGTGCTAGCTCCCTGCCCAGGATCCAAACTGGTGAACCCTGGGCTGCTGAAGCAGAGTGCAGGAACTTAACCACTTGGCCACAGGGCTGGCCCCCAAATTATTTCTTAAAAGAAAAAAAAGAAACCACATATAAAAGAAATGTGATTCTTCCATCAATGGCTTATCATTAGTACACATAAACCACCAAAATGTATATAAACAAAGCAAAAATCTGATCCTGAGTTTGAATGAATTTTTACTCCTGAAAAATTCATTACCTAAAATCTATTATTACCTTCAGAAAGAAAATACACTTACCAAGGTATACTCATAGACAAGTCCAGCATGTCCCAAACAATCAGGATTTAGGTCATCAAAAGAATTCAGAGCCACCCCACCACAAGCAAGAGTCAGCCTGCAATATTCAAGTGTTTTAAGGGAGATGTGTAAGTGATTTTATTACTTAAACATTTAAAGAGAAGAATGTGGAATTTTTAGAAAGCAATCTTTCAGAATTACATATTATATTCTAAAAAGTATTTTAACTTAAGCCTTTCCATTCACTGCCAACCAACTGAAAACTGGTCTTTTCTCCCACTCTCCATTTAAACCACCCTCCCCAAGGCAGCAAATACTTCTGTGCTATGAAATCTAAAGGTAGACAAGGGCTCTTCATTGCGGTAGGCATTTGGGAAGAAGGTACTTCTCTGAAACCCCTTGATGCTCTCTCTTTGACACAGAAAAATATGTATAGGATATGTCATGGTTTCAAAATAAAACAAGTACACACCAATGTTCACACAGCATTACTGACAATAGCCAAAAGGCAGATATCCAAATAAATGGCCACTGACAGATACATGGATAAATAAGATGTGGTATATCCACACAATGGAATATTACTGGTCCTTAAAAAGGAATGAGATTCTGATACAAGCTACAATATGGATGAACTCTGAAAACATTATGCTAAGTGAAATAAACCAGACGTAAAAGAACAAATGTTGTATGATTCCCTTACATGAGGTCCCAAATTCAGAGACAGAGTTACTGTTTAAGTGGTACAATTTTAGTTTGCAATGATGAAAAAGTTCTGGAAACGCAAAACGGTGATTCACAATACTGTGAACGTAACTTAACGCCACTGAATTGTACACTTTGATAAAATGATAAATTCTACATTATGTATACTTTATCACAATAAAAAAAGAAAAATGCAAAAATAAATAGAAGGGAAAAAGGAATAATCCCCATTAAGTTGCAAAATAAGTAAAATTTGCATCACTCAGATAACGTGCTAGCCATACCTTTCCATATTTCTTCTTTTAGCTCTGCGCAGAGCTACTATGCCTTCTTTTGCAAGAGCATCTAAGGAAAAGGGGTCAATTCCCTACAACAGTAACAAAAAATTAGTTTCAACATATTCCACTGTAAAAATAAAAAAGAGCTAACAGACTAGTTTATGAAGCCAAATTTTTCTCACCTTTTGATTAATAACAACAAATCCTTTATTTGAATCACCACAGACTTTCCTTTTCAGTTCTATTACTTTTTTAACTCTATCTTCAATGAATTTTCTTTCAGCTTTTACCAGTTTCTCTCTCTCTTCCGCACTCTTGTAAAAAAAGCTAGAATTCACTTCTCTATTTTAAAAAAATTACAGAAAGGGAGGGAAATGGTTATTTTTTAAATAGAAGATAAGCCAGTAGCCTCAGAAACTGGGTTAATCTTGAAATTTAATTTAACAAATAGTCACTGAACTCCAATCCTGACCCTGGTACATTTTCAAATTTCCTATAATTCTCTCAAACCCAACTGAGGTACTATCATCCTTAGAGTGGGGAAACAGTCTCACAAAAAAAGAGACTTGCCCAAAATAACCAGCTCCACCACTGGAGGGGCCAGAAACTCACGTTTTTTCATATTCTAATGACACATTACATGTGAGGATGTATGCATCTTCTACTCTTTTTCTCATATCAGGATGCCGTGCCCCGTGGTCCAAAACAAGACCTCTGATTAAGCTGTTGAAACACACAAAAAATTATATTGTTATTGATTTCCAGACAGGGTGTAACATATGCTAGCAAATTAAAAACACTGAATTGAGACTATATTGATAATTTTCACATAATCAGCTTTATTTTTTCAGTTATTTGAATAAGATTTTGGGTGAAACTTCGATAGGTTCAATTGTGAAGAGGCAATGTTCCAGAAAATGACTAAAACAAGCCATTCGAACAAAAGTAACAACCCTAACTTGTATAGAATATTCTGCAGAGAAAGTTTCAACTGTAGGCTATCAAACTGTGATCATCTCCTTTAAAAATTGTTTTTAAACCAGGTCTCTGAAATAATACATATATTTTTAATTCCCCAACGGCCTCCCATTATGCTTCAGATCCAACAATTCAATAAATGCCAAATGAGGGGCTGGCTTGGTGACGCAGCGGTTAAGTTCCCATGTTCTGCTTCAGCGGCCCAGGGTTTGCCAGTTCAGATCCTGGGTCCGGACCTATGTATCAGGTGTCAAGCCATGCTGTGGCAGGCATCCCGCATATAAAGTAGAGGAAGATAGGCATGTTATGTTAGCTGACGGCCAGTCTTTCCCAGCAAAAAAGAGGAAGATTGGCAGCAGATGTTAGCTCAGGGCTAATCTTCCTCAAAAAGAAAAAAGAAATGCCAAATGACTGATGTAGCTCACTTTTCAGAATCATTCTAACTATGAACACATCATACCACTAACTTCATTTCAAGGGGAAATATTACTGAGTAAATCAAATACCTAGGCAATATAGATTAATTCAAAGACCAAAAAATCCGCCGTAAGATATGTATTGTATCAAGCATCTATAAATATATAAACTTTGGATCTCATAGCTTCTACCACCTACCTTGTATCAGTTTCAGATTTATGTTTCATCTCCATGATCTCAACCATGAAGAGGTCAATAGGTTCATCCTGTTTTTTAATGGCCAAAACGGAGTCCACTACAGCCTACAATAGGAGTATAACCATTAAATGCATTTAATTTGCAGAAGTTGAGACACTTACGTTGCTTCTTCTTCAGGTGAGTTTAAAGTAGACAGTTTCTTGACTTTAAAATCTCTGAACTGATCTAAGTTGTCTTCTATGAGCTAATGGAATAGATTATTTGTAAAAAGCTTAAATCATTTACATTTCTGAAATCTCAATTAGTAATTACCAAGAATCATGGATACCCCTATTATTTTATTAAAAAGATTGATAACAGAAAGCTTTTTAAATAATGAAATCTCCATTTTATAAACCTTTTCATGAAAGCTCTGATTATAAAGATAAAGCTTTACCACCTGGTCAGGTATACTCTTATTTCATTTTCTCATTCTACTTTTTGGGTACACAGATCAGGTTATCACTGCCACAAAAATGAGCCTATTTATTTCACACAGTATGATACCGTAAAGACCCTAGATAGCACCCTATAACTAGAATTGCTAAGTATACTCATGTTTCTAACATCAGGGGTTTTCAGTATAGGTGTACCAGATACATTCCAAATTTAACACATACCTCTGTTAAGACATCAGCAAGTTCAGCATGAACTTTGGTACGTAGAGATGTTCTGGCCACGTCTATAAGTGTTTCCCTGTCCATCTCTTTGGTTACTTTGACTTGTTCCAAAAACTGAAGTGCCTTTTCCTTTGCAGCTTCAAATCCTTCTGTTATTATTCTGGGATGAAGACCCTATAACAAAGACACAATTAAAACCATGACTAACACTGCAGTTCTTTAATTAGATGCAACTATACTGCTTATGAAAAAGTAAATTTTTTTTTTTTTAAAGATTTTATTTTTTCCTTTTTCTCTCCAAAGCCCCCCAGTACATAGTTGTATATTCTTCATTGTGGGTCCTTCTAGTTGTGGCATGTGGGACGCTGCCTCAGCGTGGTTTGATGAGCAGTGCCATGTCCGCGCCCAGGACACGAACCAACGAAACACTGGGCCGCCCGCAGCGGAGCGCGCGAACCCAACCACTCGGCCACGGGGCCAGCCCCGAAAAAGTAAATTTTTGAAGGGATATTCCAGATCATTCATACCCTTTAATACAATTAAGTTAATATATATGTGCTGACTTTCTGAATACATTTAAAAGGATAAATAGTCCTTTCAACGCAGAGGAAAAGAACAGACATTGCTCTAGCACAGATTCAAAACCAAGGGAACTATAAAGCACACTTGGGTGTTCACTGTGCAAACTACAAGGAGTAATACCAAAAAGCCACACCTATGTCATAACAACTTGCAGTCAATAGGACCAGTATATCCTTTCTATAGGTTATCTGAAATTAATTCACATCATTTACTAATAAAAAATAAACAGGGAGGCTAAGAGTCTGCTTTCTCTCTTCCCAGGAAATTCTTCCTGACGTCAGATTAATAATCACTAAGGTTCGCTTTAACCTAAGAACTACTCAAGGCTAAAAAAAGTTGTGGAATTCTTTTTTTGAGGAAGATTAGCCCTGAGCTAACATCTGCTGCCAATCCTCCTCTTTTTGCTGAGGAAGACTGGCTCTGAGCTAACATTCGTGCCCATGTTCCTCGACTTTACACATGGGACGCCTGCCACAGCATGGCTTGCCAAGCGATGCCATGTCTGCACCCGGGATCCAAACCAGCAAACCCCGGGCTGCCAAAGCAGAACATGAGAACTTAACCGCTGTGCCACCGGGCTAGCCCTGGAATTCTTACTTAAGTTTTTGGTTGACTTTTTGCTTATAAATATGACTAGTCTTGAATATCCCATTTCTAGATCTTAATTATTAATTTATATTATAAACAGATATAAACCATACATGCAATATAACTTGATAAAAAAATCTTTCAGGCCAAGGAAGGTTCCTTAACTTGTCCATGATCACAATAAATTTGGGTCAGACCAAGATAAAGACTCTGGTTTCCATATTTAATACCTCCTGTTTGCTATATTCTACTATATGGCCTCAGTTACTATTAACAAATCAATTTCTATAAATAAAACAGGTTATTTCCTACACACAATAAATATCACAGAAACATGAGAGTCATGTATACTTCAGAAATGTAGAGATCAGCCTGTTTCAGCAGCTCTCCAATGATTAGAACATTGGAAGTGGTACCATCACCAGTTATGTCATCTTGGGCTGTTGCTACTTTGGCTATTAAGGAGGCTGTTGGGTGTTGAATTTGCTGAAAGTAAAAAGAGAAAAAAAATTACTTAAACAACTTAAAACGAAACAGTCCAAATATACCTTAAAATGTGTGAAGGGCCTCCTGAAGTGCTATCCATTTGTATAAATTGCCCAAATGTTCAGCTCCATATTACTTTAAAAACTTACCATTAGCTATTTTGCATCAGTTTATGATGACCAAAACATCTTCATATATAAACTTACTTCTCAGATTATCTCTCCTTTACTGATGAGGAAATCTGAGCCTCAGCTATGGTTTACCCAAGGTGAGAGAGCTAACAAGTAATAGTAACAATTTCAAATCCATGCATGCCTCTTTACGACAAATCTAGGGCTCTTGTGAGAATAAACCAGGTATCTTCTCAAACAAAAGCCCAGCAGCCTCCACTATTACTTGGCACTGACCAAAAACAAATAAAATAAAAAACTGCCCTCTTAGCAAAGATCATCAGTGGATACTAAATCATCACATGGAAGGGTTTCTGAACAGGATATGCAAATCTCCAACGTCACCCACAGATTCTTAATTACAAAGAATCCAATCAAGGCTCCTGCACTGCTTTTGGTTTTTATGTCTCCTTATTTTCCTCTAATCTAGAAGTTCCTCAGCCTTTTATGTCTTTGGGAACACTGACAGTTTTGAGAATCAAGGCCAGTCATCTTGCAGACTATCTCATTATCTAAAGTTGCTGATAGGACTAGGTTAGCCAGTCCTTCTGAAGATACTTACAAATGTCTGGATGTTAACGGCATGGTACAGTACTATCAAAATCCTAAATTTTATTCTGAACTCAAAACACAGGCAAGTCATTTTCCTTTCTTGAATTCGAACTGCTAGGTTTCAGGAACTTAGGGATAAGTAAAATGACCGCTCCTTTCAATAATCTTACATTCTTGATGACTGGGACTTTGAAACATGGCAAAGCAGAGTTTTATCTCCTTTCCAGTTGGAGGTGGAGAGATGAGATGTAACAGAGTATTGCTGTTTCAAAAAGTGAAAAGTATAACTATCCTCTCGCATATTGCCCACTTGATTATGTCAACTGCTCTTAGTTTTTTCAGATTTTATTATAATTAATTTTAGTCATTACAATCCTTTAACCAAAGCCTTAAAGGGCAAGAGTAGGGTTTCAAAAGTAAGTCTATCAGAGCCCAGGGTTCCTCACTGTATTATATTACCAGTACTGTTATTGATCACATTGCTTTTCTACTCCCTCCACTGTCTAAAAGACCACCTATTGCGAGCTGATACGATATTCTCCCACCTTGAGAATGAACGTTAAAAACCTTCCGACAATTCAAATGTACTACGGAAAATCGAGACATTTCTGACCTAGGATAGAAGCCTCTCACCATTTCATGAAGCAGCACATTGCCATCTTTAGTAAGCTTGATGTCTCCAGCACCAGAAACAAGCCTGTGCAATGGGCAGAAATGAATCAGAGTGACTTTTTCAACGGGAGATCAAATTAAGAGTCCCACAAAGATCGAGCTTCACCCAGATCCTAGAGAGTCTGGGCAGGTGGGGTTGGTTCTCTGCCCCCGGTAACAGGAACGGTGCAGCGCCCACCCCCTGCCTTCAGAGTAAGAGCCTGCTGAGCCCTCAGGGTCACTAAGTCCCAGAGCGCGGGGGAAGCGCCGCGCACGCGGGCAGCTTTGTTCTCCGCGGAGACGGCATCGACAAGAGGAAACGACCCGGGCAGGAAACAGGTCCTACCCGGGAGGACGCCGGGAAGAAGGGCCGCCGCGGCGAGCGCGGAGGCGGCAGGCTCCAGGCCGCGGTCCCCAGCGCCAGGCCCGCGGCGGCGCAGGTACGCGGTGCCCCCGGCCCTCCCCGCCAGCCCCGCCTTACATCTTCATGGTGCCCTTAGGCCCCAAGTTGGTCCTCAGCACGTCCTGCAGCCCCCGGGCCGCGCTGATGTTGACCGCCAGCGCCGCCTGGGCTCGGGCAACCTCTGCCTTGGGGTTCAGAGTCTTCACGGCCGCCATGGCTGACCCCACAGAGGAAAAGGAGGAGAAGCAACGTGCGGAACGCCCAAAGCCGGCTCAGCGTGGCCAGGAGGCGCTATCCCCGTCTTCTGGAAAAGTCCGGCGCGCCTGGCCTGCCCCCAGCGTGCCCGCGCGCAGCCGCCATTGGGCCGCAGCACTGCCGGCGCAGCTGATTGGGTCGCGGCCTCACTGCTGCCTGCGGCTCCGCCCCTCGCGCCCTGGCCGAGGCGCCATTGCGCACGGGAGGGGCGTGTTCACGGGAGAGAGGGCTCGGTCATAGGGGCTCGTCGTGACCGCGTGTTTCCGCCGGCCGGGGCCCCGGCTTTGCGGACTCGGGACTTGAAGGTGTAGGCGGCGCGCGGGCCGCTCTGCGCCAGGCAGGGCCTGTCGGCCGCGCGTCTGGGCGTGTCTGGAGGACCGGCGCCGTTTCCTGGAGGTCGCCGGCCGCGGGGAGTAAAGTGGGCTTCCTCCCTCCTCCTCTCGCGCCGTGTGCCGTGTTTCCTCCCCTTGCTGCTTTTTTCCCTGTCACCAGAGTTTTCTTGACTGTATGCCGTGTGCTTAACGATGTTGTAGGTGCTGCGGGGATTCAGAAGTGAATTTGATAAGGACCCTCGCCCAGTGTCCTAGGAGTTTTAAGCCTACGGAAGATGAAGAGATAACAATGCAAGGTAGAAAGTGCTAGATGCTTTTAGAAAGAGGCAGGATGGGTGCGATGGCATTTGAGGAGAAGCAGCCCTTTGGGCTCAGGACAACTGTTGAGGCCTGAAGCCCTGAAAGTGGGCTTGAAAACTCAAACTTGATTGAGCAGTGGCTTCCGTCCTTTGAGGTGACTCCTTTTTAAGACAAAAAAATTTCGGAGGATGTCCACAATTGCTTGCTAGTATTTAGTGCCCCCCAAATACCAGGTATTTACTAACGCTTTGTATTTTGCTTTTATAGATAAAATTGTTTAGGATTTAAAAGGTGCCAAAGGGCATATGGTGAAAAGTAACTCTTCCTCCCTCTTCTAGTTCAACTTTTTCCATACAAGCACCGTTATCTTTAGATACTTTGAATTTCCCAGATGCTTTCTGAATTTATAAATAGAAGCACTTTCCCCCACACAAAATGGCAATTTAGGATACGCATTGTTGGGTGTACTATATCAATACCGATACGGATTCCTCATTCCTCTTAACAGCTGCATGATAATTTTTCTAAGAATGACGTAGTTAACCGGTCACCTACTGGCTGTTCCCAATCTTCTGGTATTCAGGCCGCGATGAATATCATGGAGAAAATTATAAAATTATTATAAATATATATGTTACTATAAGTATGTATCTCTACACAAACTCCATAAATACATGTATGTACACAAACCCCCTTAAGTTGGTTTGTGAATTTGAGAATCGCAGAAACATCTATATGTTTAAGTGATAGCACTAAACAGTAGAAGGAGACTCATGATATATTCTGCAGATGGTACTTGGTGTGCATGAAGATTTATTTAACTACTGTTGGACATGTATGGGGAGACATGAGCAGAGATGAAGACTGGAATTTCAGGCATCTGCCTGCAGGTAGGGAAAGGGGGAATGGAGACTTCCAGGCTCCTGAGGTGCAATGTTAAGGGGGCACCAAAAACTCAGTAGTTAACATCAATATTTTAGTAGAATATATACATATATTTTAAGATTGGCACCTGAGCTAACAACTGTTGCCAAACTTTTTTTTTTCCCTGGTTTTTCTTCCCAAGTGCCCCCAGTACATAGTTGTCTATTTTAGTCGTGGGTCCTTCTAGTTGTGGCATGTGCAACGCTGCCTCAGCGTGGCCTGACGAGCAGTGCCATGTCTGCGCCCAGGATCCGAACCAGGGAAACCCTGAGCCACCGAAGCAGAGCGCAGAAACTTAACCGCTTGGCCACGGGGGCGGCCCCTAATGGAATATTTCTTAAAAGTCAAAATTAATGCAAAAAGCCCACAGAGAACAAGTATTGGAATTTTAAATTATTAATCTCCAGTAGTATCCTACAAGGCCTTAGACAAAGTCTCAGCAAAACAGAAGGATCCATATGATCCTTGTAGAGGCAATCTATTTGCATATATCATTCTACTGGTTTTGCTTATCACACTTTTGAGCAAATTAATAGTTTTCATTATCTTATGCAAAATAGAGTAGCAAGGGAGTGTTGCCTATGTGCTAATGTATGTATAGAATGGAAGAACTTTAATATGTCTTTTGGAGAATTTCAAACAAAAGGTCAAATGTGGGAGCACATCCATTTCAGTCCATGATTGAAGAAATTGAGATGGCAGCAGCTGCTTAGCCATGTGATTCAGCAGGGATTTCAATATAGAAGAAAATTTTAAGGAAAGAACTCTAATGAGGCAGAGTGGTGTATTAGAATTCTAGAGTCAAAAAATTTGAGTTTGAATTCTGATTTTGCAATGTTTACCAATATGTGACCTTGGATATTACTTAACATTTTTTTTTTTTTGGAGATTAGCCCTGAGCTAACATCTGCTGCCAATCCTCCTCTTTTTGCTGAGGAAGACTGGCCCTGAGCTAACATCCGTGCCCATCTTCCCCTGCTTTCTATGTGGGATGCCTACCACTGCATGGCTTGCCAAGCGGTACCATGTCCACACCTGGGATACGAACCGGCAAACCCCAGGCTGCTGAAGCAGAACGTACACACTTAACCGCTACGCCACCGGGTTGGCCCCTACTCAACTTTTTGGAGTCAATTTTCTAGTATATAAAGTAGGGGTAAGTGGCATCTTAGAGAAAATTAAATGAGATTGCGTGTGAAATATGCTTTGTATTGTGCCAGACATGGAAGGTGTTAAGTAAATTGCTACTATTGCGTTCATATAATGTAATTAACTCTGTATAATTTTCATACCACCTTTACATGCAGTGTCTCATTTGATCCTAATATGAATCCTTTGAAGTTGGTAGGTCAGGTATTGTTAAACCAGTTTCACAAATGATAAAATCGACACAGAGAGAGATTAAATGGCCAACTCAAGGTCGTACTGTGTTGTATTAAGGAAGAGCCAAAAACCTAGATTTCACCCTTGACTCCTCCCTTTGCCTCAGTCCCCCATATTCACATACTCCCTGAATATTTTCACATTTACTTTCTAGCTATTGCCCTCCTCCACTGTCAAAATTGACTGTAGTGGAGCCATTTTGAAATGGAGTCCAAGCTGCCTTTCTAGAGAAACTGCCTTGATATTTGAACCTTAGACTAGACAAAAATGGCAGTTGTTTTACAGGCAGTTGTTTGAGAAGTCAGAAGGAGAATGGACATTCTGATCACAAAGACTCAAGATTGTGGGCTTTCTGAAGATAGAATCAATAGTCAATCAATGTTTAGCCAAAGACCAGCTCACTGCCTCCAACTCCAAGTAAAGTTCTTTTTAATACAACTTTCCTTCTTTGCCTCTAAAAGCCCCTGATTCTTATACCCTAGCAGGACACTATTTGGGTTTTGTCCTGTATCTGTGCTGCCTAAGTTGCAATTGTTGAGACGCCAAATACACTTTTGCTTCTGTCAATGCAAATAATCCATAATCAATCTATAAGTCAAAATTGGGGTGAGTTTATTATGAGCCAGGTCTGAGGACTATAGCCCGGGATCTTCCTTCTCAAGGAAGGAAGGGCACCAAAGAAGTGGGGTGTACAGAGTGGTTATAAACTGTCTTGGAACAAAAAGCATACATCATGTATGATAGGAATATCTTTTACCACTGTCACAAGATGCTTAGCTGGCACAGAAGGGTGGTGGTCAGCAGGTCAGTGGTCACAAGGTGAGCACAGCAGGTTGGTAATTAATCCTTAGTTTCCAGGAAGAGATGCTTATCCATAAAGAAATGCTGATATGGGCAGAAGTTACATCCCTGTCTTTAAGGGCATCATTCTTGTCTTTGGGACATAGTAAATGTTTAAAGCAGGTGTATGATGCATGCTTAAAAGGCCATGTCAGGCCTTTTTGGAAAAATAAGGTCAGGCTGAATTAGTTTTAAACCAAATGGCTTCCTCATATACTCCAATATATCCTATTGCTTTTCACTTATTTATTGTGTTCCCCCTTTTGATCTATAATCTTTCAATAGAAAGCACTAATAATCAAAATATTGTCCCTCGGTGCCAGAGTGGTTGCTGCCTGCCCTGGATCCACCATGTCTCTTGGTGCTAGGCTTTCATCTCATTTATTTGCCCAGTTATTCACGTTGCGGGGAAATAGTCAGACAAGCATAAATGTATATACTAACAGAGGAAGCATTTCATAGGTTATGTAATTTTTCAATTAATTTCAGATTGTTGTACAAACATTATACCTGTACTTTTGTGTGACTCCTCATGCTCACATTCTTTTTTTTTTTTTTTCTGAGGAAGATTAGCCCTGAGCTAACTGCTGCCAATCCTCCTCTTTTTGCTGAGGAAGACTGGCCCTGAGCTAACATCTGTGCCCATCTTCTTCTACTTTATATGTGGGATGCCTACCACAGCATGGCTTGCCAAGCGGTGCCATGTCCGCACCTGGGATCCCAACGGTTGAACCCCGGGCTGCCGAAGTGGAACATGCGCACTTAACCGCTATGCCACTGGGCCAGCCCCCTCATGCTCACATTCTTTACACTTATAGAATGGGTACGGTAACAATGATGACAATTCAATATTTGAAAAGATTAATTTTAAAATGAGTTATTTGGCATAGTCTATATCAGAAAAGAAAATTCATCCAGGGTTGTAAGATCCATCAACCATCTCAATTCACTGAGCAGTCATTACTCTAGCCTGCATGACAGTCTTACCACTAAGTAAAGACAG